ATATGGTGTTGCTTTATTTTAACTGACAATAATGCGGTCATGCAACGCTGCACCCAAATGAAGTTTCTTGTCACAGCCGATGGCATATCACTACACCGGCCCGTTGTCAGTGTCATGTGACCACTGTGACCAATCACAGCAGATCACATGTCAATTGTATTCAATGGGTGGCTTCCTGTCACGCCATCCATTGTATACAATTATGTTGTTAGCTGTGACTGGTCAAAGCAGTCACATGATACAGACAGGGCCAATCACAGCCCACCTCTATCATGAGATCAGCTTTGCCCAATCACAGCTAATCACAACAAAAGACTGAATGAATCAGTTTCATTCAGCAACAATGATTGCAAATATCAATGAAATACATTGGTATTAGCAATCATAATGTGTTTAAAAGAAAAAAAAATCCTGATCACTTGCCCAGAGTAGTTTAATGTTACTATGGTATCATTGTATTGCTTTGGTCACAGTGTGCTGAAAAATAAAATCGTAAAAAAAAAAAAAATGTATAAAAAATAGAAAAAATAATAAACATTTGAAAAAAAAATACAAATTAAATTATTATTATTATTTTCACCAAAAAAATGTAGCCGAATACATTTTGACCTAAATTTATGAAGAAATGCTATTTATTTGCAAAATTTTATAACCGAAACGAAGAAAAGTGCATTTTTTTTTCAAAGGTTTCAGGTTTTTTTTGTTGTTTTTTTTTTAGCAAAAAATGAAAAAAACTCAGTGGTGCTTAAATACCACCAAAAGAAAGCTCTATTTGTGTGAAAAAAAAAATGATAAAAATTTCATATGGGTGCAGTGTTGCATGACCGCGCAATTGTCATTCAAAGTGCGACAGCGCTGAAAGCTGAAAATTGGCCTGGGCAGGTATAAGTGCCCTGTATCGTAGTGGTTAAAGGCAGGGGCGGACTGACAACTCATGGGGCCCCGGGCAATAGGGGATCATGGGGCCCTTGTGTCCTTGCCCAAACTCAAAAAAGCCTATGAAAAAGGTACCAGGGGCATCTCATGGGGCCCCCTACTGACCCCGAGTTTCCAAATGGTCAGTCCGCCCCTGGTTAAAGGACATTTCTAAATGCATTTAATGATTTTTTTTTTTCAATGGCGCCATTAACACTGTGCATTTATATGCAGTCGGATTAGCTGTGTTTAAAGAATATAGAATTCTGCGCATTCAGGATTTGATTGCAAACTCTAAAGGCAGTACACGCATGTAAACGTCCCTTCACACACCTAAACTCACATTAGTGTCAAGCTCACACCTATGCATTTGTTGCGGCTCGCGTTTGCGCGGGCACAGCAGCTGATTCATTTGAATGGGCTACTCTAGCTTTGGGAAATGCAAATAAAAGTTCTCTGCACAAATCCTGTGGTGCTTTTGCACCAGTGACGTCCCTAGGGTTGGTGTCACCTGGTGCGGTAACACTTGTTGACACCCCCTCCGATGATCCCCGCAGGATGGGTCAGCCTCCCTCTCTCTCTTCCCCCCTCTCTCTCTTTCCCCCCTCTCTCTCTTCCCCCCTCTCTCTTTCCCCCCCTCTCTTTCCCCCCTCTCTCTTCCCCCCCTCTCCCCCCCCTCTCTTTCCCCCCTCTCTCTTCCCCCCCCCTCTCTTTCCCCCCTCTCTCTTCCCCCCCTCCCCCCCCTCTCTTCCCCCCCTCTCTTCCCCCCCTCTCTCTCCCCCCCCTCTCTCCCCCCCCTCTCTCTCTTCCCCCCCCTCTCTTTCCCCCCCTCTCTCTTCCCCCCCTCTTTCCCCCCTCTCTTCTTCCCCCCCCCCTCTCTCTTTCCCCCCTCTCTCTTTCCCCCCCCTCTCTCTTTCCCCCCTCTCTCTTTCCCCCCTCTCTCTTTTCCCCCCTCTCTCTTTTCCCCCCTCTCTCTTTCCCCCCTCTCTCTTTCCCCCCTCTCTCTTTTTCCCCCTCTCTCTTTTCCCCCCTCTCTCTTTTCCCCCCTCTCTCTCTTTCCCCCCTCTCTCTTTCCCCCCTCTCTCTTTCCCCCTCTCTCTCCTCTCTCTCTTTCTCCCCCTCTCTCTCTCTCCTCTCTCTCTTTCTCCCCTCTCTCTCTCTCCCCTCGCTCTCCCCTCTCTCTCGCTACCCCCCCCCCCTCTCTTCTCTCTCCCCCCCCTCTCTCTCGCTCTCCCTCCTCTCTCTCCCCCCCCCTCTCTTGCTCTCTCTCTCCCTCTCTCTCTCTCCCCCCTCTCTCCTCCTCTCTCTCCCCCCCTCTCTCCCCCCCTCTCTCCCCCTCTCTCGCTCTCTCTCTCTCCCCTCTCCTCCCCTCCCCTCCCCCCCTCGCCCACCCCCCCCCCCCCCCCCACTCTCCCCTCTCCCCCCCGCTCCCCCCTCCCCCCCCCCCCCACTCTCCCCTCTCTCACTCTCCCCCCTCTCTCTCTCCCCTCTCTCTCCTCCCCCCCTCTCTCTCTCCCCCCCCCTCTCTCGCTCCCCCTCCTCTCTCGCTCCCCCCCCCTCTCCCTCGCTCCCCCTCTCCCTCGCTCCCCCCTCCCTCGCTCCCCCTCTCTCTCTTGCTCTCCCCTCCCTCTCTCTTGCCCCCCTCCCTCTCTCTCTTGCTCTCCCCTCCCTCTCTCTCGCCCCCCCTCCCTCTCTCTCGCCTCCCTCTCTCTCGCCTCCCTCTCTCTCGCCCCCCTCTCTCTCTCGCCCCCCTCTCTCGTCTCCCTCTCTCCCTCTCTCTCCCCCCCCTCTCTCTCTGCCTTCTTTCTTCCCCCCGCTCCCTCCTACCTACTACATGAAGCTGCAGTGCTGTCACCAGGGTTGGGGGAATACACACTGACCTGCTGTATACTCTGCCCGCCCCTCCAGCTCTCCGCGTCTTCAGCACCCGTGGCAGGGATGTGGACCCGCCCCTCTGCTGAAACTCCAAGAAGGAGAGGTGTCCGAAGTGGCTGCCTCACTGTCTGCCCCCTCAATGCCTGCTTATTTCTGAAGTGGCACATACAGTGATGGACTGAGCCTCTCATGGGGCCCTGTAGTGACCACAGGCCCTCGGGCAGTGCCCGAATGGCCAGTCCACCCCTGGTGGAGCGGGTCTGGCGATTTCCCACCCCCGAAAATGTGCTTTGTTTTCAGATGCATGGGGGGGGTGTCATTAAGATTGAATGGCAGCCATGTGTGTCTGTAAAAGAGCAGCGCGTTTTGGGTGCGGGAATAGGTGTGATTTACGTTCTGTCCTCCCTACAGTATGAACCTAGCCCTAAAGTTGGAGCATCTGTATGCAGGAAAAAGGGATCTGGGAGGCATCAAAGTTGCTTAATGCTTCCCAGAGGATTTCTTCTGCAGTTAGAAAAGCTAAAAGCAGGAGTGCCAGAATGAATGAGCCCTTAGGCCCGATTTCTGCTGAATTCAATCCATGGATGGCTCTGTCAGAGCAACCTGCCTAGATAGACTTCGACTGAAAAATTGAAGGAATGGAGTGGAAAGTTGTTGACCAAACAATGGCTGCTTCCAGTCAGATGCAGTTCCTTTTAGGGTAGGTGCCCCCTCTCAGAATAGAAAAGCCAGCAGGGAGATATGGGTGGGGGGGTGGAGAAAGCGATTAGATTCCTCCTATTTGGACCATGTGTAGCTTGCCTTGGAATCTGTCATTGCTATCTGTGCCCCCGAATGGAAAGAATGCAAAGAAACACTGTCCTGTCCATGTATTTTGCTTAGGTTGGAATATGAAGGAAAATGCGTAATAAAGCATTTTGTAGAAACGAGTCCCATCTTTTTTTTCTTTTTCCCCTCTAATACTGGTAATCCCCACATCTTTTCTTTTGCTAGGCAAGAACCACTACCAGTAGTAATTACTTTCCTGACTGGTTCCTTTTAAAATGAATGTGTTCTGTTCCAGTGCAGGGCAAAACAGTGCACTCACTCAAGCTTTGGCCATACACCGTTAGAATTTTTTTTTGTTCAGCCTTCAGTGATCCATGATATACAGCACAAATGGAGGAATCTCCCGCTGAGGCTATTGTATTCTGCCAGACGGCACCAGTGGTGGTCAGAATACTTAAACCATGGCTGCCTCTGAAGCCGCTGTTCAGGCAAAACATTTTCTTCTGCCTCATTTGATAGTTCAAAGGAAGGATGTTGGGCAGAATGGCTGAGACAGGGCCACCCATGGAGAAAATCTTGGTTGGTTCATCTGGAACCAAAAATTCTCATAGTATCAATCCCATCTTAGGTCTAGTGAGCTAACGAGGAAGCTGAATAAAGAAAATATGAGTATAAGAAGCTGGGGAAAGAGGGGCGGCAATTAGGTGAACTGCCTGGACAGTGCACAGGTTCACTTCACATGCAATTCCATCAAGCCTCTTTTCCTCATCTCAAATTGCTGCACTGAAGAGGGAAAAAAGTGAGAAAACATACTTGCCTTACCTCCAGCTCAGGTCTAGGTGAGGGAGATATTACAGTCCTCCTGGGGAGAATCTGGGAGCAATGAGGATCCCAAATCTTGCAAAAATGCAAGCCTGCACAGTTCTGGCATGTCTTCTGTACGGTTTGGGATATTCAAGGTTCTGGGGAATGTCCTCTTCTCCAGTGTTTGGGTGAGGAGGGCCGATCGCCCGGTGTCCAGAATAATGTAACGTTCGATGTAGGATTCAAAGAACATTTATTGAAAGTGTAAACATATAGAATAGGGATGCACTGATACCATTTTTTGATCGGCGAGTATGAGTACCGATACTTTGGGCCAAGTACTCACTGCTACTGAGTACTGATACTTTGCAGTGCGACTTGCGTCAATACAAAATGTATGGACGCAAATTGTACAGTAAAGAATAGCATGCGATTTAACCACCTCCCGCCTGCCATATAGTACAATGATGGACACAAGGTGGTTCTCTCGTTCTGGGAGGACGTCATATGACGTCCTCCCATTCTCACCGCGCATGCGCGGCTCCGAGAGCACGCAGCACGGCGATCGGCGGTGCGCTGTGTCCCTCAGACACAGCGGATCACCGATCACAGAAAGAGCCGAAGATGTCGGCTCGGTCATGCGATCAGCCGTGTCCAATCACAGCTGATCATATGTAAACAGAGAAATGTCGGTTATCGGCATTTCTCTCCTCTCAAGTGATCACACTGACAGCTCGTGAGGAGAGGAGAGGCAGTAATCGGCTTTCCGCGGAGTGGACATGTACAGTGTGCCCTGATGATCAGTGTAGCCCCAGCAGTGCCACCTGTCAGTGTCCATCAATGCCTTGTGTCAGTGCTCATCCATGTCACCTGCCAGTGCCCATCAGTGCCACATATCAGTACCTACCAGTGCACATCAATGCCACATATCAGTGCCCATCTGAGCTGCTTTTCAGTGTCACCCATCAGTGCCACCTATCAATGCCAATCAGTGTCATGTATCAGTGCTTCCTTTCAGTGCCCATCAGTGATGCCTGTCAATGCCCATCAGTGCCACCTACCAGTGCCTCCTCATCAGTGCCTATCAGTGCCCATCACTGCAGCCTCATTAGCGCACATCAGTGAAGGAGAAAAATCACTTATTTACAAAATTTTATAACAAAAACTAAGAAAAAACAGTGGTTTTTGGTTTGTTTAAGGAAAAATACCACCAAAATAAAGCTCTATCTGTCACAAAAAAAATGATAAAAATTTCATATGGGTACAGTGTTGCATGACCGCGCAATTGTCATTCAAAGTGTGACAGCGCTGAAAGCTGGAAATTGGCCTGGACAGGAAGGGGGTATAAGTGCCCAGTAGGCTTGTGGTTAAACAGAAATGCCATTCCTGTCCAAATCGCAAGCGGTTTCCCCACTGCTCCTGTGTGAACCCGAGTTCACACAGGAGTGGTGCGGGAAACCTCCCTACACCGATCCCATGCTAAGCGGAGAGTGGGAGAGAAGGGCATGTGGGGATGTATATACTGGTGTTGACCATTGGAGGATGGAGGCAGATGCTTCAGATTCTTAGCTGTAGTAGAGGAGAGAAAGCTGCGGGATTTGAAATCCCTGTGACTTTCTCTCCTCTCATTACAGGGATGACAGTATAGGCCAAACGACTTTTGATAGGTCAGCACTGTCACATTGCTCACCAATCAGAAGCTCTCTAGCCTGTACTGTCATCCCTGCAAAGAGAGGAGGGAAAGCTGCAGGATTTTCAGTATATACATCCCGACATGCCCTTCTCTCCCACACTCTGCTCACTCGCTCAGCATGGCATTGGTGGAGGGGTTCACACAGAAGCAGTGGGGAGGCCGCATGTGATTTGGACATGAATAGCATTCGTGTTCAGATCGCATGCCTTCGGTGCGATTTGTGTCAATACAAAATGCTTGGATGCAAATTGCACCGCAAAGTATCATTTTCGGTATCAGGAGCATTTTCAGGAGTACTTGTGAAAATACTCTGCGTTGCTCTCGGTGCATCCCTAAAATAGAATGAGCCCAACATATAAAGCGAGCCAATGCATTGCAGGGAAATTGCCCATCTTTAGGTACACCTCACAGCCCTAAAGAAAGGGGAAGCAATTCCCCCAAAAAGCCTTGGCTCGATTTTTATGTTTGGCTTGATCTATATGTTTACACTTTCAATAAACTTCTTTGAACTGTCCATTAAAAGTTACATTATTCTGGACGCCGGGCTCTCTTCGCTCCTCAACCAAGTACTTCTTGATGAAACTACCTTATGGTCGTACCAAAAAGGTAGCAGTCCAGACCCCAAAGAGGGTCCATCAACACCACCCACCGTTGGGTTCACCCACTGAAAGTGATCTCTTCCTCAACCCGATGGATCCACCATCAGCTACTACTGATCGATCAAATCAGTCCACACCAAGACTTTTTCCAATATGGAAGCCAGTGGTAATGGAAGTTATATTTCTACTTTAATGCAGCAATGAGATGGGTGGCTGGAAGAAAGGCCTATTGTAATAAGACCTTGCCTTTGAACCTACCATAAGACTGACAAGTTCCTTGGATGGTGGAGAACCAAACGTTTCTGGTACAAGAAGTCTTCACATACAGTATACCCATTACTCTTTAGAGTTACGGAATGTAATTCTAAAATCACATATAATAAACAATATTTTAAAAAAGTTCCATAAATGGAGATGGGAAGAAGGAAGTATTTTTCCATCAGCAGTGAGCTCACATCTCTGTACAGTAAGTAAGGAGTTATAAGCAGACCAGACATGATAAAAAAAAGTGTCATTTTTAGATCCAGCGCAGTCTTTACAGGCACTACGGCCAGTCATTGCAGTCACTAAGCCACCCCTTGGCAGATCGAGTGTCGCCATGCACAATTAAATCATCCCATTAATGATCTGCTTAAGATGAAGCGCCCTGTTGTCCCCCTCCCTCCCTTGCACTTTGACATTTCCCTGTGTGATTGACACGAACTGACATCCGCCCAGCCAGAACTGCTATGTTAATCCCACACTCAAATAGGATTTTGGTAAATACATTTTTCTCTGAGTGTGTGTCCTGTCACGTTTGATGCATGGCCCTGAATCGCGCAGACGGCAGGCTTAAAAGAATTGATGGTATTTGCATATTTCGTTTTGGAATCTTCCCCAGAAGGTACAGACTGAAATGCTGAAAACTCCCATGACTCTCAGATGCCTGCACAGTTGAATTTTATTATGTTTTTTGGTTCAAAGGTGAAAAGTTTAAGTGGAATATTCAGCAGAGGCTTCCAGCAAGGTGTTATTGCCATATGATGTCAGCTGGAGGTTACATTGTGTAACAAAATGGCTAAAAAGCATGACTTGACCCTGACATTCCAGATTATTTTATGCGGGGTTCACCTCCTACGTCTTATTATTCATTTTTATAGATGGTTTGTAAACTTACATAAATTCTCTGCTAACTCCTCCAACATGAGTGCCTATAGCTGGCCGTACACATGACAGTTTATCAAAATAGTAAAACATCCAAAGACATAATACGGTGGGCCACACACCAACGACCTTCAACTCCAGCCAAGGTTTGTTGCAGTGACTGCACCGCTCACTCCCACCCATGCGTGGCTTTGGGTGGGTGTGAACGGTGTGCTGTCATTGCAATCAACCTTGGCTGGAGGTGAATGTCTTTGGTGTCTGGCCCATTATTTGGATGGTGGATTACAGTAGAGAACGAATGAACTCCAGAGCCCTGGCACCTATCTGATTTCAGGGAATCGAGAAGGATATAGGCTGGCCTGTGAGTGGTGAAAGGGGTTGGGTTCATATAGCAAAATGGCTAAAAAGCATGACTTGACCCTGACATTCCAGATTATTTTAGACAAGGTTCACCTCCTACGTCTTATTCATTTTTATAGATGGTTTGTAAACTTACATAAATTCTCTGCTAACTCCCCCAACATGAGTGCCTATAGCTGGCCGTACACATGACAGTTTATCGAAATAGTAAAACAACCAAAGACATAATACGGTGGGCCACACACCAACGACCTTCAACTCCAGCCAAGGTTTGTTGCAGTGACTGCACCGCTCACTCCTACCTATACGTGGCTTTGGCTGGGAGCGAACGGTGTGTGTCACGTACCTGGTTGGAGACTGAAATGACAAGGTCGGCATCATTTGTGTCACTAGCCTTGACCCCTCTGGAAGTGGAACAGAGTGTGTCTAGGGACCAGGGGGACAAGAGCGCCAGCAGATGTTGTTTGCAGCTCTTACAGTTGGAGACTTTGGAAAACCGATGGACCTCCGATTCAGGATCAGTAGTGATATGCAGGGCTGGTATGGTAGGTTGCCAACTGTGCACCAGAGCAAGGCAGGAACCTGGGATGGGAGACAGGAGCAATGTCATAGGAATAGCCAGGGTCATCAACGGGCGGACAGAGAGGTACCAAATCATAAGCAAGCCAAAGTCAGGATTAGAGCCGAAGTCAGGAACAAGTATCAAGCAGGAAAGTAATCAGAGTCAGGTCAGGAACAAGCTGGGTCAGCAACAAGGAAATCACAGGAACGAGCAGGAAATGGGGAACAGCTGAAGATCAGTCAGCACTCAGCACAGGCAGAGGCACCTTTTAAATAGTCCGTCTGGTGCCAATCTTCACCGTGCGTGTGCGTGATCGTGCATTTCTGTGCACATGCGCACGTCTATTCACCAGCCGTCTCACGGGAATTCCTTTACACTTTATGTATTTTTTGCATTAGAACTGTAGCTGGCATGCTAACTTCAATTATTGATTACTATGAATGGTGAGGGGCAGAGGGACGCCCCACCTACAAATACGTAGGAACCCCTGTGCTTCACTGAATCGAGGAGGATTCAGGCTGGCCTGTGAGCGGTGAAAGGGGTTGGGTTCATATAACAAAAAATGGTGTTTTTAATTGACTGCAGAAGATGGTATTGAAATTACACCAAAAGAACGTGTCAGGAAAAAAATTCAATCGCTTTGAACAATACTGCTGGCATTTCATCCAAATTTAATTTAATTTCGATTTGATCTTTCATTAAACTATTGCAGCTGTCACGTTTCAGCTTTAAATTTAACCATATGCTGGTGGTTTGCCAAACTGGTGGATCGTAGATTTCTTAGCTTCTTAGATTCCTGGTGGCTCGAAAGTAGTTGAAATTGAATAAAATATGCCTTGTGTATGGCTAGCTTGAAAGCTTTGCACATTATATTATTTACCATTACCAACCATCAACACACTGTACCACATTGATCTCTTGCCCCATGCCCACTGCTACAGATGGGGTGGCTTTCCTGCTACCATATACCTTGTTTTCTGGATTGGCCCCTATGTTACCAGTTTTCGAGATAAGCTACTCTCTGTGATAGAAACTCACCTCATGTTTACCAGCTCTCTACCTTCCGAAGTCTGTTTCTTAGGTATTTTTTATGGCTTTGTACCCCTAACAAGCAAATGAATGCATTCTGGGAAACTAAGCATCCTACACCATTACAATCTCAGAACTGGTGTGCGCCCAGGGCCTTGGATAAGGGGGTACCCACCAGTCCTCCTGTGCGGGACCCATGCCAGCAGGGGGGCCCAGGCAGCTGCATGAATCGGATGTGGGCAGGGAGGGTGATCTGTATGGTGAGAGGAGCAATTACTGGAACTGATCCCCTGTATGGATCTCCCTGCAGCAACTGAAATCTGGCTTCTTCTCCTCTCTCTCCTGCTTGCTTTCACTTGCTGCAGAATAAGCCATACCAGGGATCACTTCTAGTAATTTCCCCCTCGCTGCACCCATCACCCTACCTGTGCACCATACTTTTCACCCTGCCAGTTTCCCCTTTGTGTCCCCACCCTTGCAGTGCTGCTGACTTCCCTCCTCTCCTTACCAGCAGCAGCTGCAAGCACATAATAGGATCCTTCAGGATGGAGAGTGGGGAAAGGGTCTGGTAAATAAGTCATATTTACCAGCCCCTTCGTTTCCTGAATGAACACAATGACTGACCAGTACCAATCAGTCACTGTGTTCATTCATAAAGCATAGTAAACTGT